TGATTAAAGAAAAACTTTATATATAGTAGAAAGTAAAACTAATAAGATATTATTAAAGATTATTATTGAATTTTGTTTAAAATGTATCTATGTTAAAAAGTACTGGAAAGTGTACACAAGAAAGATCAATATTTAGCACTGGGTGATAACGCAAATTTCTTTTTATTTTTCCTCTTTGATGATTACCCACATTTCCTAAAACGTCTATATTGGCCTAAATATCTAAAATTTCTTTTATTACACTACTTTCTACTTTATAAAATGTTCTATATGAACATAGCATATAACTCTGAGTACAAATTCTGTGAATATAGGTTCTAAGTCTGATTTGTGTTCAGAACTCCTCACATATTAGCTTAGTGCCTTGAGTGATTGTAACAAGTGCTATTTACTGAATCTTTGCCATGTGGCAGACACTGTGCTAAATTGCATCATTTAATACAGTAAAATTCAATAAGCATTTGTTGAAAGAGACCAGGGAAGAATGAAGAAAAGTCCAGCAATATGAACTAAGCTGAAAGCTCTCAACTGGAATTAACCAGTTTACATTTGGGGACCCACTGACCATCAGACTGAAGGACTCTGAAAGACCATCTCTTCAAAAGGGGAGGAAAGGGAGAGTAGGCAGAGGAGGACCACACTGTTATCTTGGATCTTAGGAAGACACACTTTTTGGATTATAAGATCTAAAGGGAACAACCAGGTAAAAGTTAAAATTTACTTTTGAAAATTTTCCCACCAGAGTCAAGAAAACTGGTATTTACATGGCCTTTTAATGAGACATGTTTGGCTTGACATTGGCAACTTTTAATTTATTTTTATTTTATGTGTATGAATGATTTGCCTGTTTGGAGGTAAGTATACCCATGAGTTCCATGCCTACAGAGGCCAGACAGCATCAGAACCCATGGTTAGCCATCTGTGCTGGGAATCGAACCCTGACCCTCTGCAAGAGCAGCCAGTGTTCTAAACGGCTGAGCCATCTCTCCAGCCCCACCTTGGCAACTTTGAATTCACTTCTACAAACCTTCCCTGAGCACCCACCATCACCTCTGGAGGAAAAAAAGTAAACAGGCAGTATCTTCCTTAAGGAATTTAAAGTGCAGTGAGGGTTACCAACAGGTGCCCATCAGCTGATTCTAGCCTGGGTGAGCTCTGTGGGTGAACTCCTGGGTCTGAGGTGGGGGTGTCTTTCCACTGCAGATGGAGAGTAGCTAAGGGAACAAGGGAAACAGGCATCCGAGGGCAGGGAAGATTTCTCAGTGCCAACTTGGGGTATGGCATTCCTGGCTGCAGGAACAACCTGGGGAAAGTGTCTGACAGGTGTGATAGGGCCTGTCTGGGGAAGAACACGTGGTTAGTTCATGGTCCAGAAACCCTGGACCACTTCATTAGGAGCAATGGTGACCCAGAGATAAGCAAGCTCCTCATGATTTGTCTCTTCATGACACCAGCACTTTACTGCTACATCTCCAAGTAGGTGCAACCAGAAAGCAAAGTCGAATGCTTCCTCAGTCAAAGATCTTGAGGGGTTAAAACCATACTCAAGGCCATGGTCTCCTGTGTGCTTGCAAAAGTAGGAATTCGGGACAAGCATCTAGTCACCTGCCTGGGGCCTGCTCACAGAAGCTGGCATTCCAAAGAGGAAGCTGCGCACAGATACCTCAGCCTTCCAAGTGGGCCCACCTCCCAAAGGGATGAAGATGCAAAGCCTTGACATGTTTCAAACCAGCAGAAGCAGGAGCCCTGTAGTAAAGCTCCCAGGGACAGATCTCTTCAAATAGTCCCTAGAGTGAGCTCTATGGTCAGCTGCCCGAAGGTACCAGTCCTTCTGATCCCCCCCACACACACACACCCCACACACACCCCGACCCCCACACACCCCATCTCCCCACCTCCGTGAACAGTTTGGGGCAGGAAGAAAGTAGCAGTCTCTGGGAGTCCTCAGCACACAGCTCAGGGACACCCCAGCTTTTTCTGTAATAGTCCAGGTATAGGATGCATTATCCCTCCTTCCTGCGTGCCACCTGCCTCTGGAAGCTCAGGTGCTGTATCTTGTCCAGGTCTCTCAGCAGCTCCCTCTTCCCCTCCTCTCCGTCTTGGCACCTCTCTCTGCCCCTGAACTTCTGACTTGGTGTCTAGCTGTGCTAACCTGTCTGCGCCTGGATGTTTGTCTCTGTACCTGTGTTTACTATGACCGCCTTCTGTCCCTGTCTGACTTCCACCCCTCCTTATTCGCATTTGCATCTCTGTCCCCATCCCTCAGTTTCCATCCTTTTCTAGACCTCCTTAGTAAAATCTCAGTGAGGAAGCAGAGCCGTTAAGAGCTGCTCCAGAGGGATGCCAGATAGAACCAGATGAGTCACCTGCCCCCTCCGACCCAGGTTCCCTACACCACCCCTCTCCTCTGCTCAGAATGGGACGCCGTCACCACGAGAGGGTGTTTAAGGAAACCAGAGATGGGGCCCGGGGTGCTAAGTTCTCACCGATGGTGAAGCTGTAGCCATCGATGCTGAAAGTGGCGCTCCTGCACTTCTTGAAGCCCTCCTTCCTGTTGCTGGCGTTGCTGGCGTCGGTCATGGCTCTGCCCGCTGCGTCCCGGGGTCCCCGGTTGTGGACCCCGCTAAGCGCGCCGGCTGCTGCACCCCTAGTCTCCGGAGCTGCGCTTGCACCGCACACCCCGCCGGCTGCGAGCGGAGCGCCCCGGCTGCAGACGCCGACACCCGGGCAGCTACCAGCACAGACTCCCGGCGCTGCCCACCGACCACCGCGACAGCCCCATGGCCAAGCCGGACTGGCGAGGCACCGCGGGGGGCTCTGCGGGGGTCCCTGCTGCGTCTTCTGCTCCGGGAGCCGCTGCTCTGCTCCCCGCGCGCCTGCGGTCTATTCCCCTCCGCCCTCCTTCGCCCTGGTGGGGCTCGGGGACCCCGGGGGAGCGGCCGGGACCGGCGTCGTAGGTCTTCTAAATGAGCTTTCTCTGGCAGAGCCCAGAGCTCCCCGAAAGCCCATCAACAGATGGAGACGCAAACCTCTCAGCCGTCAGATGCCCAAGTTTACTCCAAACAAGGAAGTCGGGGAAATCGCCACGCCCACTTCCTCCCACGGCTGTCCCCAGAACTAGCCAGGAGCCCCGATAATGTTACTTCTCAGCAGCCCGTGGTCACAAGGTAATTATCACAATAACCCATTTTTCTGGACAAGTGTTTCCACACGAAGTCCTTAAGTGTGCAATTTACAGCGGAGTTCAAACCTAGCACCAGCAACTTGTCCCCCGCCTTCGGGTCTGAGTTAGCTAAGGGTAATGGATCCTGGAATTTGCGCAAAGGAGAGAAATCTCGGATCCTAGACCCACTGCTGAAGTGACAGAAGAGGAAATGGGTGGAGAGGGATCGACTGTGGAAGGTGCTTCACCCAGGAATTGCAGACTTCAGCCTCAGACGGTTCACAGTATGACCCACATCTGTCGTTGGCTTTTCCAACTGTCTGAAATGAAGTCATTTTGTCAAGACCTGTGCTGGAGATGCAGAGGCCGCAGCTGAGCTGCACTGGAGCCACTCTGTAACACGTGTGGAAAGGCAGAGGCATGCCCAAGCTATCTCGGACAATGAATTTAACCTCCTTTGTTGAGCTGAAACTTCTCACAATTAAACACTTGCCAATGTTCAGAGTGGAACAGATGTATTATAGCTGGTTTCAGATGAGGTTGAAGGGCAGTAGATCCACACATCAGAATCTAAAAATGAGCAGCCTTTTCTCCAAAAAGACACAGAGACTTGGAAATCATCATGCTCAGCCAAATAAGGCTGACTTGTCCACTCTAATACACAGAATTTAGATGTGTGTGTGTGTGTGTGTGTGTGTGTGTGTGTGTGTGTGTGTGTGTGTAGGAGTACAAGAGAAAGTAGGGAAGAGGACATGGTCATACATAATATTTGATATATTTGATATATAATATTATATTAATGTTATATATGACATGAAAGCAGAAGGAGATTGTCTAGGGGAAGGAAGGTGACCAGTGAGCAAGAAGGAGAAGGAGGAGGAAGGGGACAGGAAACATGAACAAAGCCTGGGGGAAATAGGAACATTATACAATGGTATACACATATGAAAATGTAATGAACCTGTTAGTTTGTAAGCTAACAGTTTTTTTTTTTATTTGTAAAAGCACAGATACATACATCTGTAAGGTTCTACATAATATTTCAGGGGACCCTTAAAACCCTCAAGCCCACTGGAACCAAGGTTAATGCATGCCTCAGGCATTTAGTCGTCTTAAATTCACTGTATACTTTTTTTTAAGTTTTATTAGAACATTAGATAATATATAGCAAAATAAACGTAGTCACCAAAAACAATAATGATGTATTATCTCATTCGGGACATCCAACAGATCTGTGCCCAGTCATGTTCAATTTCCACTGCATTATTATTGGAATCAAAAGGGAAGTCCATCTGTAACAATCATTACCTGAAAGGGACAACACTTTTGGACTCTTTTTTAATTTTTTTTTAATGTGTATGAGTGTATTGTCTGCATGTAGCAGGTGCACCCGTGTCATGCAATGCCCATGGAGGTCAGAAGAGGGTGTCAGATCCCCTGGAATTGGAGTTAAGGATGGTTGTTAGCTGCCATGTGGAAGCTGGGAACCAAACCCAGGTCCTCTGCAGGAGCACTGGCTGCTCTTAACTGCTGAGCCATGTCTCCAGCCCCAACACTTTTGAACTCTTATGAACTGCTGAAATGATTGCTGCTGCTTCAATATGCAGCACCATACAGGTTTAAAGGAATAAATTTTTTATGTCAGACTGCAGTTGGAACTTGAGTTACAGGTTCTCTCAGTGAAGACTTAGAATCATACTCGGGACAGTTTGGTTAGGTTGGTGACAAGATAAATCAGTCATAAAGACAATGAGTGTCATGAACCTCGTTTCTTATAGAACAGTCCTTCACAGCAGCTGAACCAGGGGTGTTTCCAAGTCTTGACACAGTTCTTAGAATGTAACACTCACATATGGAAGGTAGAGCTGTGAAAGGAGCGCCACGCAGATTGGCCTGAATCTGGCTCCACCACAAGCTAAGTGACCTTGAGCAAGGTGCTCAGAACCCTGTGACTCACGCTGAGGATGAAATGAGGGCAAGTGTGCCTGACATGGGCATTCAGTCACCAGCTGAGTCAACTTTCATTATACCGACACTGAGAAATTCTTCACGGCAATAATATATTTTGCTTATCCCTGCAGCCACTAATTTTCTAAGAGGATTTTGTATGTAACATTTTACACATATTACATGCAATATTATGTACATTTTGTGTAGCAACCATTCAAAGTTTCTTAATTCACAGTTCTCTGTATTTCTCTCCTACTCCCAAATTTTTAACTGAAGTATTTGCCTTCTTTTGTGCCAACAAAAGTCATAAAATGAACACCCTGAGAACCCTGAGGTAGAGTATCTTGTAGTACATTATCTAGAAAAAGGGCCTAATATAATGGAAATTTTTCACGAAGTACATAGAATTAAAACTTGATATTTAATCATTTTTAATAGAAAAGCTTCTTGAGAAATAATCTATCAAAAATAATAACAATGTGATCATTTATCTATCCCCTAAGTAGGGTAAAAATAACTTGCCTGAACAATTAGAACTGTTTCAAACCTGTTTCTCCCCAGAATCATTATCTACCTCCCTGGTTTTAGAGATTGAACACCTACAGAATCACTAAATGCATTGTTTCAAGTCTTAAAACAGCCTTCTCAGTGCAGGGCTCTCACACCAACCAACCAGACGCAGCTCCATTACATAAGCCAAGGAAGAATGGGATCAAAAGAAGCTTGGTTTGTGCTGCTCTCTCCAAAGTGCTCACTACAAAACACTAAAGCAAGAAAATGTGGCCAAGATAGCCGAGCAAATGTGCCAATCTTCCCCCCTTGTAGTTGGAACAAGTGTCAGCAAATTGATGCCTGAATGGCTGGAGAGGTCCTAGACTCCAGAGGAGAACCCACTACTGCCACTCTCCTAAACAAACATAACTTCTTACTGTATTCTAGGTATTCTATATATTCTTACTGTATTCTATATTCGTAGGTAAGTATAGCTCTTACCACTCATCAAGGAAGCTTCCTTTTGAAACAGATGGAGACTATTACAGAGACCACACATCGTCAAAATGCAGAGAATAAGTCACCTGTGGTGTCTAGCTCCAACCGATACATCTAAAATGTATGGCTCAAGGAACATCAAAGAAGAGGGGGCAGAAAAATTGTAAGAGCCAGAGGACCAGGATAAGTGCTGAGGACAGTGTCTTCTAGACATGACAAGGAGGGTGTTCCATGAAATCTCAACAACATGGTTGCCTAAACAAGACCTGCATAATGACAACCCCAGTTCACATGCCAATGTGGATCGGGGAAATCTCACAGGGTCCCACCTCTAGATGAAGAGCTACAGGCAATCAATGAGGGAGGGAGAACTGGGTTTCACCAGGGATGAGCTCCCACATGGGTTATCTAATCCCAAGTGGTCATTCCTAAATACATATAAACATGAGCACCACTTGGTGAATTCAGTGCATTGTGTGTGTGTGTATATGTAACAATAGAAACTAAAGAAGCCTACCAGAAATTGAGAGGGAGTTGGGGGGACATGGGAGGAATTGAATGGGAAGAGGGTGGGGTAGAAATGATGTAACTATAGTACTCACGTATGAAGTTCTCAAAAAATAATATTTAAAATTTTAAATATTCATATCTGAAAGCTGAACCCATCTGCCACCTGTCCCTGTAGAGTCTGTATGCTAAGGGTGGCTATTACATGTTTAAAGGGTTAAAAACATTCAAAAGAAGACTATCTTGTGACACATTAAAATTATATAGCATTCAAAAGCTGGAAGTGGTGGTATACACCTGTAATCCCAGCCTTCAAAAGGCTGAGGCAGGAGGATTGCAAGCTCAAGGCCAGTAGAGACCACATAGCAAGAGCCTGACTCAAAAAAAAAAAAAAAAAAAAAGCACACTAAAGTCATTCAGATTTTAATGTCTCAAAATAAAGCTTTATTGGAACAATCCACCAGGACTCATATATTTACATATTATTTTTCTGGCACCTTCATGCTATGGAAGTGTAGCTGAATAGCTGTTCCTAAAGCCCAGTGGCCTACAAAGCAAAAGCCCAAGATGTGTATTATCCGGCCTTTAAGCAACATGTTTACCGATTCTAAGATTGTAGCAGGTATAACTTACACCTTCCAGGGATTTAGGTAACTTTTAGTTACATTACATTTACTTGAATGTAAGTTTGTAATGGGATGGATCTTTTTTAAACTACTGGAACCAAATTCCAACAAGGAAGAAAGATACAGTAGCAACAAATGTTTATGAATGAATGAAGAAAGAAGGACAACACATATTAATTGCTTAATCAAGCCATTAGTCAAGGTCAGTTGAGCTAAGATTAATTTCTACCAAGAAACAATGTGACTGGCTTTATCTGAAGAAAGCGGAACTCAGTGCCTAAATCAGTTCATGGGTCAAATGATGCCCTTCAAAATGCAAAGGCTATGTATGACAAAAACACACCAAAAAAAAAAAAAAAAAGAATCTGGAAAAACAGGCACAAAATAGACATCTTGGGAATCTAATCTAATATCATGCACTTTTATTCCCCCAGTGGACTGGATGGTAAATTCTCTTATTCTGTCTATATAAGGGCATTAATGGAAAATCCTTACTTGCTCGTTAAGACTTTGGTTTGGTTTGTGTTGACTGTTTTGACTAGGTGAGCAATATTTTGTGACAGATTCTTGCTATGTACCCCTGGCTACCTGGTATTCATTTTGCAGTCCAAGCTGGCCTTCAACTCATGGCAATCTTCTCCTGCCTCAGCTTTTCAAGTGCTGAGATTTTCAGACAATATCATGCCTAGCCTGCTTGTTGGTTTTTAATCTTTATGTTTCTAGAAGAAAAAAAGACATTACACAATATTTATAACATATTACCAAAAAGTGAACTATCAAGCCAGAGGGAAAACAGT